AAAAAATTTTAGATCTTTATTTGATTTCTTTAGTTTTTCAAAACCAAATCTCCCTTTTTTAAGCTTTTCATTTTCTTCTCTCAATTTGTATACCTCTGCATTCCTTTCCCTTAGTTCTTCCTCCAGCTGAGACACCTTGGTTGTTAGTCTTGCTATGGTAGATGTAGCCAAAACACTTTCATCATCTTCCTGGTTTTCCTCGTTACGTGGAGGCACGACACCATCATTTGATGAATCGGAATGCGGACTTGCTTCTTCCGATGACACCCTTCCAGTTACTTTCCAACTGACATGAAATCTCCCACTTTGGTTTAAATTTAGAATACCGGACACAACAACCATTATTTTATCAATTAAATCTACATGTATCCAGACATTTGTATTTGAGCTGAATTAATATTTTGTGAAGACTCGCTTTTATAACAAAATGTCCCTTATAAGACAAAAGGCATAAATTAAGAAAGTTCTTTGTAGATCTTTTTCGGTGATTTTTCTTTATTCTCTACGTTCTAAAATCATGTGAAAAAAGGCATTGATGGATTTCGCATAGGTTACTAGGCTGCTAGCTAATCCATCCGTTGACGTACTGTTTCATTCACAAGTATCTAAATTATTTTTAAACTGAAATTGTCCATGATTATGGTTATACACATGTTGACAAGCTTAAGTTTTATGCTGGAACAATGCATCAGAGGGCAATCCTACAATTCGGGGACTTTGCCTTAAACATACTGACAACTGAATCAATATTCAGTGTATTTTCACGTGCGTGATGATTTCTAAGCATCATCAAGCTGTCCAAATGTTCATCTTTTATAAGAGAGCAAAGGTCATTTTTGATGAGTCGCATTGAGCTGAAACTTCTTTCACATTCTCCTGAAGAAACTGGCAAAGTGCAAGCAATGGATACCAACCGATACAATTCAAAAAAAGCTGCTTTTAGTTTCTTTGTGTAAGTGTGCTCGGACTATCTTTTCTGTCTGTTTTCCCAATCATGTGCTTTGAAGTGCCAATCTCGCTTTGGAGTACACTTGTATTCAACTGAAACAGTAGGCCAAAGTTTATCATCTTTGTAGAGTAGCTGCTTGACCCAGGAGCTAACGCTGTTATGCCTTGCATGATGGCAATGTTGTTCTCGTCAAATCTTCTGCTAAGTTCAGTCAAAGTTTTGTCTGCTATCTGGTAGTTGTTTTGAAGGAAACCTACAAAATCTTTAAGTGGAGCAGGTGGCTTCTTTTTTCTTTGGTGTCTGGCAAATCTAATTTGTCTGCAACTTCTTCAGCAGAATCCCAAAACTCCCGGATTTTGCCTCTTTTTGGACATTCAACATCTTCATCTTAAAGGGTTTGGATCAACTCGATTGCTGCTGTCAAATCATTTGATGGCGTTTGCAACTGGCAATTTTTTGCATAATTTTTTCACCTGCGATAGACATTGTGATAAAATAAATTTTGAGAAATTTAATCTTATTCTGTTAGGTACTAGGTTGAAAACTCTAATCTTTTCTTCATTCTCGAACTGTGTAAAACCATTTAAAGATAAAGATAATTTGCTAAAGAATTTAATCAGATAATTTTTGTCATTTGGTAGATAGAAACTCGAAGAAACCTATATTGTAGGGCCGAACTTTGCTGGAATGACCCTTTCCGTACATTTTTATTGTAAATTTGACTGACCCTTGGGTTTGATGATCGTAAACGACAACTCAATCTAGAGAAAAATCATCCTTTTGATGAAGGATCTTCCCGCAATTTGATGTTCCTTTTCAAGTGATGCTTTGTCCACCCTCCACACTCTACATTTGACAAACTCTGTTTTTAGTGCAGAGTCCCACTACAAAATTTGTTGTCTTTTGATAATGTCAGTTTTCTTTTTGTTGAAATCAAACATATTGTCGGGCCTTGCAGTGGCATATATAACGGCTACTTGTTCCTTGGCTACTTCAGACCCACCAAGAACGAAACAGCCAAGGTAAAATGTGTTTGTAAGGCAGGTGTAAGCCACAAAGTCATAATCTTTTAGGATCATCTACAAAAGATATAACAGTTAATTTTCTAAACGCTATTAGAGACATAACTGGGGTGACTTACTTTCTAATATATTTAATAGAGAGAGCGGGAAAATAACCGACCCGAGCGAGGCTCGAACTCACGACCCCTGACTTTGTACGTGCTCTACCGCTGAGCTATAGGGTCGTGCTTTCAAGCCAACACCCAAGGGCGAGTCATTCACCCGCACTGCCTCTCTCTTTTACTAGATACACAGGGGACCCATCGCAGCTCCATCACAAAGTGCAGAGGACCTGAAGAATGAGAGAAGACTGCCCACACCAGGAGGGCCATCGCAGCCCCAACACTGGATAGGGTTGAAGTTCGAGCCTCGCTCGGGTCGGTTATTTTCCCGCTCTCTCTATTAATTATCTTCAAAATCCTGTTGTCTGTAAACTTTCTAATATATGTTTATGCTGTAGTTTTTGCAGTAAGAGTTGGAAAAAATGTACTTGATTTGACTGTAGATTAAATGTAAAGTACATCAGTGCTTTATCTTTTGAAAATTAAAAATTCATATTTGTCTTGCATAGTGCAATATTTTTAAGTCATCAGGAAGAAGATATTGCAAATTTGAAAGAAAGGTAACGAAAAATTGTACTTTGTCTTTTTGGTCATTTGAGAGTTCTGAGTCACTTTCATAGTCAAATGATAGGGACTGTAGGTGCTCAAAACCTTGTGCAGCCGATTCTTCACACAAATCTCCTTCGGCTTCTGACTCCGAGAATGAACTTTCAAGTTCCGCCAATCCGGCTACGTAAGCCTCAAAGTCGTCATCTATCGCTGTCGTAGACACAGTAGCCAAAGATATCTTTTTCTGAAATGCCAAATTCTATGATAAGTTTAAAAATTCAAAAACATAAGATATAAAACATGTGTTGACGGAACTAATTTATTTATTCAGGGGATTGGTAGGAGGAGGATGCTGGCAAATAAACGATTGATTATCAAAGGGCTGCAGCCCTGGAATAATGCTTACCCTGCTCACATCTCACTTGCATCCGTTAATGCCGAATTCTCTTCCAGATAGTCAGTGAAAGGTACAGCCTGAGAATCAAAACGTTCATATAGGAGATTACAACAACCTGTTCTTAATTAAGATACTAACTTGATTTGCACATTCAGCATAAAAAGTAAAATTTGAACTGAAATTTTAAAGTAGAATAATTTTAATGGATGCAATTGAAAGAGTTTTGGTATTATTTAGCAACATCAAATCTTACTGATAATTGTAAGGACAGCTGCATTTTTGCTTCTAATTTACATCTTGTGTTATGCATGTTGAGGAAAACCTCCAATCTCGCTGGTATCAGAATAGAGAACCCAAGAGCAGAAATATGAATCCAAGAAAATACAACTATTTGCTTTACATCTCCGTCTTTTTCCAAATCTCAAACGATTACAACACTATGACGACTCCTACGTCGAACACTCTACTTTTTGTAATAAATTTGTGGAATATATACGTTTACTTATGTTGCTAATTAGTTTTGAGTCATGAACTTTTAATTATAACTACCAATCAACTTGCATATATGTTAGTCAGGTGTTTATTTAGGATAAGCATTATAACTCAATCAGCGGGCGTGGTATAACTATTTCCTATAACCTCGGACGGATTCAGCTAAAAGCGAGGTTTTGACGCAAATGCTACTCTAAAACAACAAGAAGAAAATACTTGCATGACTAACAAAGAACCCGACAAAATCAATGAACTAATTGTAAAAATACACGTGCTATATGCAAAATGGCGGATTCCCAACATTCCCCCCTCTTTGACTCAGTAAGAGTCAAGCATGATGCACGTCTTCCATTGCGCATCCCTATCTGCGGCTCTCCGCGGACGCTGCGCTTGTTCCTGCACCTCTTCATACCTTTCACTTTCCTCACCGTCCATTCTTTCCTCCACAGTTTTGTCTCTTAAAATCTCTAAAGGATAAAGTTTTTGTACTGGTCTACAAATAAATTCAAGTTTACCTTTCCCTGGCTTTCTTACCCTTGCACCCCTTGTCACGCCGTCTTTGCCGATAATGAGTTCCTCCACAATTGCTGTCTTCCACATGCCACGTTTTAAATTGTCGTCATGTACTAAGACAATGTCTTCTTTACCAATCTTTGGTGAACCTTTTCTGTCTGATTTATGTGCTTCTAGAAGTCCAACTAAATATTCCTCGTGCCACCTATTCCAAAAATGACTTAACTTGCGTGTTAAATAGCGAAATCGTTTACTCAAAGGTGAATCTTCATCCATATCATTGTTATCTACTTGATACTTTATACCTTCAGACAATGAAGATACGCGACATCCAAAAATCAAGTGAGATGGGGTTAAAACTTCAACCCACTTCTACTCATCATAGTCGTAGATCAATGGTCTACAATTCAAGGTGTTTTCGATTTCTGAGAGGACTGTATTTAATTCATCAAATGACAATTTGGCATTGCCTATTACCTTTCTTAAACACCTTTTCACCAGTCCTACCATTCGCTCAAAATGGCCTCCCCACCATGGTGACCTCTCTAAGTTGAATACCCAACCAATCCGTTTATTTTCTAAGAAATTTCTCATTTCGTTGTCCATTTTAAGTGTTTTAAGAAATTTGGCTGTTGCCTTGAAGGTTTTCGCGTTATCCGAAACAATCCTTGATGGTGTGCCGCGTCGAGCACAAAACCTACGTAAACAACATATAAACGTAGCCGTACTTAAATCATGAACAAGTTCTAGATGAACTGCCCTAGTTATACTGCAGGAGAATAATGCAATATAACACTTACTCATACTCTTATTTGTCTTATAATAAAGCAGTCCTGCAAAATCTATACCAACACTACTAAATGGTGGCGCTTCAGATACTCGAAAAGCTGGGAGGGGTGCCATACTTGGGGAATCATAGGCCTTGCCCTCGAGCTTTGTACATGTAAAACAGCCACGCAAAATTTTCTTAATATACTGGCGACCTCTGGTAATCCAGAATCTACATCTTACCTCTGCCAGTGTTGCTCTTACTTTACAATGTTTCACCCTATGATGACAATCCCATACAATGAGTTCCGTTAGCTTATGGTCTCGGGGTAATATAATTGGGAACTTTGCCCCCAGATCCAAATCAGAGTTTTCTAATCTACCGTGGCAAATTAGCAGGTCGTCCTGTTCTCTAATGTCTAAGTTCTTTTGGATTTTTCCGAAGTTTGTACTTTGTTTTAAGTCCATTTGAGAATCTTTAACTAATGCAAGTTCTGCATTTCTAAGTTCATCTGGGCTAAGGTATCCAATACCAAGTCACTCTCCCCTCGTTTACGTTTCAAGTTTTCAACGAACCGTTTTACCCATGCCGTGATCTTGAGTAGTTTCTTAAGAGTACTGAACCTTCCGATATCAACAACATTAGATAGCCTTGGCTGTTTTTCTGCTATAATGGAAAGAACATTGGATTTTTTCTGTTCTTCCTTAATTTCTTCAGAGTCTGACAATAAAATCCCTTTAGGCCATGCTGTTTCGCCCTGTTCTAACCACTTAGGTCCTTCCCACCATAAATCACTTTTAATTAGTTGCCTTATTGTCACTCCTCTGGATCCTAAATCTGCTGGATTGTCCACTCCACTCACATGCCCCCATTCTTCTTTCTTAGTCAAAGTGAGTATTTCATTAACCCTGTGTTGTACAAACTGTTTCCATTCATTTTTATTTTGGATCCAAAATAATGCAGTTTTGCTATCTAGCCAAAATCTTATCTTGTCTATCTTAACCTGCGCCTGAATTGCATTTTTTACGGTGTTCATAAGTACTGCTAGAATTCTTGCAGACATCAATTCTAACCTTGGTATTGTCATGGATTTTAATGGAGCTACCCTTGTCTTAGAACATAATAGCTTAGCAAAAATACCCTTAGTAGTTTTATAAACAAGGTAAACTGTAGCACAATAAGCTTTCAAGCTTGCATCTCCAAACCCATGCAATTGGCACCACAATATCTCTCCATCACCTTTATCATAGATACACCTAGGTATGCTGACAGTTCCTATATCTTTAAGATCTTGAAGCCAACTTTCCCATACAGGTACCTTATCTGGGCTTATGGGGTCATCCCATCCAACATCTTCCTTGCATAAATTCTGAAATATTACCTTTGCCATGACTGCAATTGGGCTTAAAATTCCTAGAGGGTCAATCAATGATGCTAGCGTGCTTAGTATTCCCCTCTTGGTGGGTGTATTCCCCCCTTCCTTCAGCATTTTGCTTAATTCAAACTCAAAGGTGTCCTTTTTTGTGTCCCATACTATTCCCAATACTTTAGTTTTTTTCTCCATTGTTGTTGGAAAGGCCTAATGTTTCTTTTGCAAATGAACTTTCAATCAAATCTCCTTCCTTAGCTTCAATTTTGCCTTCTACTTCGTTTATTTTATTAAGAACCACTGGATCATTAGATTTCCACTTCCTTGACCTAAATCCCCCTTCCTGCATTCTAACCTTTGCTTTCTCATAGAGTTCAATAGCCTGATGTGGGGTCCTTCACCCAGTAACAAGGTCATCTACATAGAATCCTTCTACTAATTTGCTTACAAATCCAGGATCCGCTTCCTTAAATGTTTCAATATGGTGGCGTAAAACTGCATTTAAAATGAATGGTGAAGAATTCACACCGAAAACGACTCTGTTGAACGATAGATTACGATTCTGAGCTGTTCTTCGGAAACATTATCAACCCAGAGAAAACGTAAATAATCTCTATCAGATGGATTAATTGCGATATTCAAAAAAGCTTTTTCAATATCTCCTATGAGTGCTACATCATACTCTCTAAATCTCAAAAGCAGTTCAAAAATAAGAGGTGTCATAGGTGGGCCTACATGAAGACAATCATTAAGACAAGTACTTGATTTGCTAGCCTTACAAGATGCATCAAAAACAATGCGCACTTTTGTGGTCTCTGCATTGTCCCTTATGACTGCCTGATGTGCTAAATAATGTCAACTGCCAACATTTTCTAATGCTGATACTCTCTCTATTATACCCATGTTTTCCTGGTCTCTAATAATCTTATCGTATTCTAGCAAAATTAATGGATCC